AGTTTCATATGTGTTCGTTGCTAACATCATTTTATTATGTCGTGCATCTAAATATCTAACTAATAATCAAACATGTAATAAATGATTGCCCAAAATTGACAATTTTATTGATTTTGACAAATTTTGTGATTGTTTAATAAAAATGATATCATAAACCAAAGCTAAAGTTCTATCGAATGTAAAACAATATATAATTTTTCAGATACATATACATTCATTTTGATTAAGGTGCAATCATTTAAAAACATGTCTACGTGTGAAAAAAGTTTCCTTCAAACACCAATCTGTAGCACAGAATAACTGTTTGATTCTTTAATTTATATAAACTGTCGCTGTGAATGGAATAAAGTCAGGGGAAATTGGCCCTTTCTTTTTCATAGTTTTTGAGCAATTAATGTTTGATCTAGGACCATGTCAATGAAAGTATCCTAAGATAGTCTTAGGACTTGAATTAGAATGGTCTTAAAACTATGCTATGATACGTCATAGGATGTAAAACAAAGCTATCAATTGGGTGATCCTTTCTAAGACCAATGTATTCTAATGGATGGATGTATTTTTTGGTCTGAAACATTTTTTGGGTTTCCCTGACCACATCATCTACTTTGTCCTTAGTTAATAGGTAACGATTTTGTATCAGCCTTAAACCCTTATTACAATTTATTGAAACCTTTTTCACAATCAAAACCATATATTGCATTTTTGTACCGCCCATTTGGTTTTTGGTCCATATAATTTCTGTTGTTTCCCTCAGCAAATGACAGACAGTTGCTTTATTTAGGGGAAGAGAGGTACCCATTTTGTATCCGCAACCCCTCCTAAACCCCGTATTACAATTTATAGATTTTTCTTACACTCTTAACCATATAATTATTTGTGTACCTGCTATTTTGTTTATTGATTTGAACTATTTGCGTTTACCCTTATCAAATTATGACTTTGCAAGGGTCGGGATATCATTTGTTAGATTTGCTCGCAGTACTTGTAGTTTCGACTTCAGACTTACTAAACTGTAGGACTATCTTAAGGCCACCGTGAGACACCTATTTAGCTACCCCAAATCTTAGGAAAAAAATTAGAACTTATACTATCTGATGCGACTTTCGTTAACCTGACTTTGCATTAAGACTTGTCCTAGTCCTAAAACAGCCTTGTTGACATGTTCCCTTGAATGGCAATGGTCTAGACTTCGCATTTAGTTTTACTTTTGTGAATTTAATATATTTTTTTTCTTGAATATCGACTATCCGCATAAGTTCTTAATTTTAATCACATTTGATATATTTTGCAAATTATGTTTCGTAAATAAATCCCACACGGTATACAAGTTTAAAGAAATGATGATATACTGGCAGTGATACACTAGACAGTACAGTGATATTTAATCCTGAATTCTAGTTTAAAAATTGTCCAATGGAAGTCCAAATCATCTCTCTATTTTTTAAATCTACTGATAGGAATCATTGAATCGATTATCCCTAATAAAGGAGGTTCTGGCTATTATGAACAAAACCTACTTAAATAAACGTTATCACAAATTTCTATCTTTTAGAGAGCAACTATCAAACAACTTATATGGACCACCTTTATCTATTTGATATAACAAAAAACCTTGATTTCCTGATCCAATTAACATGACTTCAAACATCTATTGTAGGAATATTATACTAAAACACTTTATTGGTTCAAATTTGCATGGTTCAAAATTTAAAACAAATTATATTTTTGCAAAAGATCAATATAACTAATGGAGCAGGATCTGCTTACCATTTCGAAGCACCAAAGTTTTTAGTGGGATTCGTGTTATTAGTTTTCTTTGTGGTGTTCTTATGCCTTTTATGTCTTTTCTTCGTCTATTGTCTTTTGTCAAGTTTCTCTTCGACTTATGAGTTTTGAATGTACTCTTGGTATTTCCGCCCTTTCCAGTGTTTGTTATGCCCGCCGTAGGCAATTTGACATTAAGCGTTATCCTTGACCGTCCGTCCGTCCCATTTTCGTTTCCGCACTCTAACTCAAGTTTTCCTCCTCCAAATTTTATTAAACTCATATACAATGATAAGAACCAAAATCCACAGACAGAGTTCGGATTTGGGCAGTGTGAGTCACTAACCGTTCTAGAGTTATGCCCCTTTCTAACTTTGCACATTTTTTCGTTTCTACACTCTAACTTAAGTTTTCCTCATCCAAATTTTATGAAACTCATTCACAATGCTAAGAACCATAACACGAAGACAGTGATCGAAATTGGATAGTGAGTCATTTACCGTTCTAGAGTTATGCCCCTTCTTAACTTGGAAAATTTGAAAGCTTTAGCGGGGGCATTCGTGTCCACAGACACATTCTTCTTTTATTTTTAACAAATATGGCCGTACCAATATACAAATAAGGAGATGCGGTATGACTGCCAATGAGACAACTATCCACCAAAGTTCAAAGATGCAAGCAATTATAGGCAACCGTAAGGCCTTCAACAATGAGAAAAAAACAATATCGTATAGTCGACTATAAAAGGCCCCGAAATGAAAAATATGAAGAAATCTAACGGCATAATTTATAACAAAACAATTAACGAAAGAAAAATATTACGGACACAAACCAACGACAACCATTGAACTATAGGCTCCTGACTTGGGACAGGCACATAAATAAAGAATGTGGCGGGGTTAAACATGTTTGTGAGAGCTCAACCCTCCCCTTAACCTGGCACAACTTAAGAACAAACTATAAAAATCAGTTGAAAAGGGCTTAACTCAATAGATCGATACATAGAAGAAAAACACTGACCGGACGTGGCAGGGTATTTATACATCCCTAACAACAAAAAAGACGCAAAGTGCAGATCTGATAGTACTCGCAGTTACTGACAGCTAGTTCAAAAGCAAAATACAATTATTAGTAATAAAAAATGTTTCTTACTATTATCCCTTTTAAGGCGGATACTATACCATTGTTGTATTTTTAAATCGAACTTAATAGTTCAGTCAGTACTCTCGGATATATGGTCAGTAAATAAATGAATTAAAAGTTAGATCTATAAACTATAATTACCATTAATCTATAGACAATCCTGCGTCAAACCTATATTTTTATCAGAATGAACGCAGAATGACGAGAACTATACATTTTGATGATCTTTGAAATACAAAATAAAATAACTTTCATAGTAATTATTTAAAATTACTAGATCATGTTAAGTTTTGAGCTAGAATAATAGATAAACTCATCATAGATACCAGGATTGAAATTTTGTATTTTCTCCAGACGCGCGTTTCGTCTACAAAAGACTCATCAGTGACGCTCGAATAAAAAAAAGTTAAAAAGACCAAATAAAGTAAGAAGTTGAAGAGCATTGAGGACAAAAAATTCATAAAAGTTTTGCCAAATACATCTAAGGTAATCTATTCCTGAGGTAGAAAAGCCTTAGTATTTCAAAAATGTAAAGTTTTGTAAACAGTTAGTTTATAATTATGACCATATCAATGATAATTCATGTCAACACAGAAGTGCTGACTACTGGGCTGGTGATACCCTCGGGGAATAAAAACTCCACCAGCTGTTCTATATACATGGTTTTGCTTTTCGTATTCCTTTGTGTCAGACAGGCCTGTTTCCGGACGGCAACAATATATTCGGTAAAAACTCACCACAGGTATCAGGGTTATAATTTTCGTACGCCTGACGCCCGTTTCGTCTAGAAAAAAACCCATCATTGACACTTGAATCAAAAACGTTAAAAGACCAAATCAAGTACGAAGATGATATTTACTTTTTGTTTGCAAACATTGACCAACCGACATAAAGCGTAAAAAAAACTGAAAATGCACCATCCAATAAATCAGCTTGGATAAAAACAGATTATTTGGACAAAACAATAACAATAAAGAGTCGGGATAGTATGATTTAATGCACGACAAGCACGGATACTATAAAGAGGGTCACACAAAACACGTGCACTCCTGTAAATGAGAAGTATTCAGAAAAAATCGTTTTACCGTGGAAGTACTTTATATAGTACTTCCATATTTTTATCAACATATGGTATTTCTTAGTATACCATGTATATTATTTATTATATTTACTAATTACATTGTAATATTGTCGTCACGATTTCTTTGTAAACAAAGAACTTATTATATAATATGCTTTAACTGGCATTATTTGCATTGTTTTAAGTGATGATAGGAAGTATTTATATTGGGTCGCAATTTGTTTTCGAACTTAACCATATTGAAGTAACTTTGTCTTCATAAACACTGTTAAAGAATTATCTTCATAAACACTGTAAAAGAAGTGTATTCATAAACACTGTTAAAGAAGTGTCTTCATAAACACTGTTAAAGAAGTGTCTTCATAAACACTGTTAAAGAACTACTGTTTTAAATAAATATGAGACAGCACATATGGAATTTCAAAAGAGTGCGCGAAACTTCATATCGTAATTCGAACTATGGCTTAATTCTTAACTATTAAACGAGTGTATTCTTTAATTGGTATAGCTAAGAGTTAATATAATGAAGAGTTCGCAACATGAAAAAAAAAACCTGGTAGATTAGATGCACACTAAGATTTTGTTTGTTTTGATGGCAAACAGGTTCTACATTATTGAGTCAATGACGTTTAAATGAAATCAGACTAGAAGACAATATACAAAGTAAACACAAGGTAATTTCAACAAGTGGTGCCGGGAACATGTTATAAAAGACATGCGAACAGAAAATGCTTTTGATCATTCTTTGGTCATTTTTATTCCTACTTTTATAGGAAAATATAGAGGTAAAAAAGACTTTTTAACATTCATATTGATTAAACAACGTTAAAAGAACTTCAATACATATTCACTTCAGATATATTCGTGTTTTAGTATGAAAGTAATTCACACTGTGGATCTTCAAATTACCATAATATCCTCCCTTGGACACCCCGACTTGTTTCCGCCAACACATTATCATCATTAATAAAAGTGAAAATATTTAGAATGTGTATTTCTTCGTATTTTTCAGATACAGTTATGCTTGAGCAATCACTATACGTTCATCGACCGCTACGTCCCTAACTGAAGAAATAATTTTATATAGTGAACGAGAGGATTAAGTGAATTATGGGTTTATAATATCATTTGTGTATATGTTGTAAACGTGGGTAAAAATGGCAATACCTATGATGTAGACACATGGAAAACTTTTTTAAAGGTGAATAGAAGTTCTATTCGAGTGCAACTATTAAAGGATGAATTAAAGTATATATTAGCAGGGATTATAACAAGAGGATTATCGTTATTGCAAACATTTTTAATTCAGGGCTAAATTATAATACTTATGACCCTACTGTGTAACAAACGTATCAATACTATACCAGGTGGAATTTAAGTGAACGAATCATCCAATACAATAATTGGAAATTCTAAAGACAAATATTGTTATCTTTACGACAAAGCTGTGCTTTTATCTTACATAAAGGAGCCAATATACACGAATGCTTAAATCATGTATACGGCACAGAAAGCGTCAACTTTCTTGCATTGATAAAACACAGATTGACATACAAAGCAATAATTGTAGGTTTGTCGGTATCGTTCGTAACCGTCCGAAATGTTTCAAAAATTTTCACGAAAGATGTTTGAAATAAATATCAAATGCGCCAACAATATTTTTTACATGGAGTGCATTGAAGAATAGAAAACAACCATCTCTAATATTTTTATTCCGTAGAAATGAGTGCAAACATTTCGGACAGTATATCATCATACGATATATTGCCGAGTTTCAATAGTAGTAGCAAGTTTACTATCGGACATATTGGCGAGAACAGTTCTTCAATACCTCCGAATACATCAGGAACTAATTATTCTTCCGACGACCCGCCAAATTCTATTTACACGCCATGGCAGCAGGCACTAGTGACGTTAGTACTTGTGTTACTGGTTATAGGCACAATAGTTGGAAACTGTTTAGTATGTATAGCCGTTGGAATAGTGAAAAAGCTTCAAACACCTTCAAATCTTCTCATTTTATCATTGGCCGTGTCAGACCTCTTAGTTGCTGTACTAGTGATGCCATTTGTAACTACATACCAAGTTCTAAGCTATTGGCCGTTCGGAAATGAGATTTGTGATTTGTTTACTTCTTTAGATGTCATATTGTGCACAGCATCCATCCTTAATTTATGTATGATAAGCGTTGATCGTTATTTTGTTATCACACGACCCTTTCAATATGCAATGAAACGAACACCAAAAAGAATGGGCATAATGATTGCCGGTGTATGGTGTTCCTCTGTGTTGATATCTGTTCCACCTTTATTTGGATGGAAACAAGCCCCGCCTAAATGGCATTGTATTATCAGCCAGAATATAGGCTATCAAATCTATGCAACTTTAGGTGCCTTCTACGTTCCACTTTTCGTCATGTTGGCAGTTTATTACAGAATATGGAGAGTATCTTCTCGATTAGCAAAAAAAGAAAGTACAAATCAGCTTGGTAGTATTGATAAAGGTCAAAGCAATGTTCATTACTCAAATAGAGTGAAGACAAATTCTGTTGAAACTGGAGGTACTGTTTTACCTAACGGCAACTTAAGAAACGGTTGCCATAGTGAAAAAGAAGAAGATGAAAGCGTAGAAATGCTTGCAAGAAATAGTGCTTCAATTCAAAGACGTAGATTTACTATTAAAAGTATTTTACCAAAAGGTCGTAGATCATCTGGGCATAAAGATTCGAAGGCTATTAAAACACTAGGAATTATAATGGGTGGATTTACGGCGTGTTGGTTGCCATTTTTTATTCTTGCCGTTATTAGACCATTCGTAGGAGATAACGACATTCCAATCCACATGATAAGTGTCTTTAATTGGCTAGGATACTTTAATTCATTTTTGAACCCAGTGATCTACGCAAGGTTCAACAGGGATTTTCGAACTCCTTTCAAGGAAATATTATGCTTGCGTTGCAAGGGAATTAATGTGAGAATTCGTTCAGAAAGCTACGTTGAGCAATATGGACCAGATCCTAGATTGAGAGATTGTTTACGACCTCCTACCTCCTCGGTTGTTCGATATGACAGTCAAGGTCGCACGGAAGTTCATTTAGGAAATGGTTCGACGCCTTCTGAAAGTAAAGTATGACGAACCAAAACAATCTCAATAAAGTTTATACTCTGTCTCCAAAGATGACATCTGCATGCATTAAGAATGTCGGTGTTCTCGACAAGTTCATCGACTTCATGTACTGTGATATAAAATGACGAGAGATTTGTAAATTGTTATTTAATGACATTTTTGTGACCCAAAATTTAGTTTTTGGCTTATTGTATATTTAAGAAGCTGTGATAAAACTTGCTATAAATACAATAGAGAAACTCATTAATGTTCTACTATGTATGGCAGAATATGGTATACCTTTACATGTTAGCATTTACAGTATAGGTAAAAATACATTTTATACGTTTGAAACCGTGGCTGACGTCACAGCGGATTATAAATCCCTTATTTATATATGTACATTCTCTGTGATTTTTGCGATTATATAAATTTTAACTCACGAAACAACATCTTATATTTTACAATTACACCGAGTTTTCTAGTTCTTTTATCTTAATTCTGTTTTGAAATTATCAGCTCGACAAATCAATAATGGTAAAGACGGTTGCTTTAATAGACTGCTCAAATTCTTAAAAACGAACTTTTTGTCGCTTAACTATGCAGTTTAATGAAACCAAATGAATTGATAGAAATAAACCAAGGTTCAAGATTCTATTTACGCTCTGGTGACGATTTCGCAGATTATCTGTTTAAAAGACAAAGAATTATAAAAAATATATATGTGTATATCCTTTAACCGTCTTATACTTGTTCAGACAATACATAGTCATGTACGTCCGACTAAAATATGGTGCTAAGTGTTTTACATTATTAGATTTTAATTCTTGTATAAAGTGACTTAAAATATGAAATTAATGTGACATATTTATTTCATTCGAAGGATTGGACTTTTTTTTCTAAAGATAATGGTGCTTTTTGCGTTTTCATGCGAACACATGTTGTACGTGGTTTGCTTTTTTTTTCATGAAAACGAAAATAAGGGGGCTCTTTTAGGTATTAATAATCTTATACTAAGCTACTGATGGGTCATTTTGATCTTACAATTAACACACTTTACAAAAAGGTTTAAAATATTTTTATTTTTATATAAAATTCATTTGAAAACTTAGCCCTCTTGCGGCAAATATTATTCAACTTTTACAAAAGAGCTTTGCTCAAACCTCTTTTAAGAGGTCTGTCCTGCTGCTTTAAATAGCACATATCATATTTGGCTTTAAAATAATGCTATTAAAACTATACATAGCTTGAAGACATGAAATTAGAACGATGTAAGAAATTCAAATAGGCTGGTTACTCAGTGCGCCTTTGTCAAATTTTCTAATAAATGGAAAGAAATCTTTATAAATTTTGTACGTCCGAATCGCTTCAGATTTACTATGATCATGTACACATATTAGCGGCATGCAGTTGAACCTCTGCAAGATATCAAATTAGTTAATCGTAGACTACACCATAAATATGACAATGGTTTCGGGAAAGAACATAATGCGTTTATAACATTGCCGATACCAATTATACTGCATAAGATGCGCTTTTTCGATTTTTAATGTCTTTTCATCGATACTCGATGCCAAAAAAAAAAAAAATCGAAAACCTATTACAAATTTGAAGAGCTGATATATCCAAAAAAGAACAACGTTTTACTTCACCAGAGGCGCATTTCAACATTTTATGTCTCTTCAGTGATTCTCAAGGTCAAAATATTTGAAAATCCTAAGCCAAATATAATCTTTCAAGGTTTGTTGATCGTTCATAAAAGATTTTGATAAAAGTATCACAAAATTGATAGTTCATAAATCTGAGTTTTGAGTAAGGACAACGTGCAGTAAGTTTGTCGTTCATAAAATTGTTTTTATTTCAATCTGGATTATGAGAAAACTTGAATTAATTTCAATAATTGAAACTAAGCAGGACTGTATGTTCTAAATGTGTCGAATACAATGTGGCAAAGATACATACATTGGAAAGACGTAGAGACAGACACACAATATCCGTCGATTAAAGCTCTTAGTATGTCTTTGACCCGATCAATTAAGAACATTTTGTTTTATTAATAACATAAGTCATTAAACAGAATTTGTATTTTTATTTAAAACATATCATATATGTACAAGAAGCGACTATGCTTTTAATTATCACGGGTTTCTTTCAGTGTCGTTAAGTATTTTAAAAAGTATCAGCTTAATTGTTGGGTATTGTCCAACAAACAAACAACGTTTTTGTAATAACTATAAGCTATTAATTAATGTTATTGTCAGCTCAGTCGATTTATAACATTCTCTTAAGTAATAATGAAAAAATATTTAATATCAATATGGATATGGTCTATTATGAGAAATCACTTCCCAACAATTTTTCGTAAAAATGACTAGGCTTCTTCTCAATTAAAAAATAAGACACCACATACTTTAGTATTAATTATCTAATACACTCTTTCTTCTCTAATATGCATTGTATGTTAAACGGGTAACAATAGCAATGTACAGTATAGAATTACTGGTACATATAAATTTATGGGCTACATTATTTACCACACTTCTCCTCTCTTTTGGAAAATGTGTGCATCAATTGCTTTATAAGTGCCACAAAGAAAACATTTTAAAAGACACGGTTAAATGTTTTGTATATGCAAAAAGTCATGTAGATTACCAATGGATTGAATGTTCCTTAATAAAATTCCATAGTTAAAGACCACCTGGCCCTTTTTCAAATAATTTCATTTCGAATTTATAGTTGAGACTTATTACGGTAACCGGTACGTAAATGGGCAATCTCACGGATTTTTATGAAATTTTGCAAGCATTTTGAGCATGTGGAACTGCATATGAATACCAAAAAAATATATAAGTAAATTTTATACGTCCGGATTTATAGCAAATTGAATATTCTGTAGAAAGAAGCACAAATGTATGTAGGATGCACATGAATATCAAAAACAATATTGAAAAATTTGACTTTAAATTGCCTTTTGTCATAAACGTATCCTACGAATTTTCTTTAAACTTGATATGTTAATGCCCCTAAAATTTTCGTTTTAATATTCGATTTTGCTGTATAAATCATTCAAAAATCTATGTAACATCTAAAACGTTGCAAAATAAGATTTCTAGACACGACGTCACGATTATTTTTTTTCCTTTTTTGGCGCTTTTTCCACGCTGCACAGAAGTTTCAACTATTCATACTCAAAAAATGAATTCGGTGACCCCCTACAAATTTTATATCATTAAAACGGGAATTTCAATAGCAATAACATATCATTTTTAAAGAAAATTCGTAGAACCGGATTTCGAGAAATGTTAATTGTAAGTCAAAATTGCTGAACTTTTTTACGATATTTACGTATATTCTATATATTTGTAATACTTTTTTCCGGTTTTTTATTTGCTATATTTAAAACAGTTTAACAGTTATAACGTCCGTACGTCCCAAAATTGGTTTCCGTTCTCTAACTTGAGTTTGCCTCAATCAAATGTTATGAAACTTATACACAATGCTTATTACCACAAAATACAGATCAAGTCTGAATTTTGGTAGCGCCATTCTAACTGTTCTAGAGTTATGCCCCTTTATAAATGGAAAAATTACAAAATGTTTAGTTTCCTTTCTCTAACTTAAGTTTGCCTCAACCAAATGTTATGACATTTATACACGATGCTTATTACCACAAAACACAGATCAAGTTTGAATTTTAGTGGCGTCACTTTAACCGTTCTAGAGTTATGCCCCTTTATAAATGGAAAAAATTGCAAAATTTTTAGTTTCCGTTCTTTAACTTAAGTTTGTCTCAACCAAATATTATGAAACTTATACACAATGCTTATTACCTCAAAATACAGATCAATTTTGAATTTTGGTAGCGTCACTCTAACCGTTCTAGAGTTATGCCTCTTTATAAATGGAAAAATTGCAAAATGTTTAGTGTCCGTTCTCTAACGTAAGGTTGCCTCAACTAAATGTTATGAAACTTATATACAATGCTTATTATCACAAAATAAAGATCAAGTTTGAATTTTGGTGGGGTCACTTTAACCATTCTCGAGTTATGCCTCTTTATAAATGGAAAAATATGCAAAATTTTTAGTTTCCGTTCTCTAACTTAAGTTTGCCCCAACCAAACATTATGAAACCTTTACACAATACTTATTACCACAAAACTCAGATCAAGTACAAATTTGGGTAGCGTCACTTTTATTGTTCTTGAGTTATGTCCCTTTATAATGTTGTATGCAAGCGGGGGCATCATCTGTGTCCATGGGGACACATTCTCCATTTATTTTTTGGATGTCATGTGCAGTTCCTTAGGCTCTAGTTGTATACAAAATTTCATAAAATTCGGCGAGATCATCCATTTACGTACCTGTTACCTTAATATTTTCATTTATCAATTCTTCAGACGTTAGAACTTATAGTTATTTCTCGCTTTATTTATAATATTTTGCAGTGAAGAAAAATAAGTTATATTGTTATCGTTTTTTTTCCTTTGCTCCGAGTTTTAGACGTACATGAACATGGGATTGTCTTATTTTCTTTTTTAATACGATATTTTTCGTCATTATCGATACAAAATACGAAATATGTAATAATTTGGTTTTACATAAAATCGTAAAAAAATCACAGAGAATGGTTTATTTTTATTATTTGTGTTGCAGCTAAGCTGTTTTATTGATTTTACTGCTGATTATTGGCATGCAATAGCAAAGATTTGTACATAATTTATCATATTTAATTTCATCATCCATAGTTTAAACGAGTTTTACAGAAATTGCATTTATCGTCATGTGGGAGAAAACGAAGTGGTCACCTGTAGAATTACATTCCATTTATTTACTCCATAAACACATAGAAAATTCCAAGACAGTTACGAAATCCAGTGTTTTTATACTAGATTACTCTTTTGTAAAAGGTTTTCATGATAATCTTGCCTGACCTTAGCAACTATTTATAATTGGTATATAGTGTTCGTGATGTACCGGTAGTTTTTGTTATCATTTGAATTTCATAAATAAATTAAATATTATATGATTAAACCTACTTAGTATGCGGGTACTTGAGTACTAACTTTTGACAAAATTTACATCCCTAGTTATTTAACTAGGAATATCATCAACTGCATATTCCATATAAAAAAACTTAAAATATTAAATAAGTTTCAGTTTAGAGTTATATAGCTTTTCAGGCAAGACATTATAAAAATGTTTACACAAAAATATTTTTTGAGGTCTGCCAAACTTTTTTCAAAGCTAGGACTATTCTGTTGTAGATAATTAATATTATGTTTCGATTCAGATATTTGATTAGAAACTATTCCTTCACCAGCAATAGGATCAAAGAAGCGTAGAAAAATTACATTTGATAGAATACAGTGTTTAACATGGATTTCTTTTTCATGCAAGACTGATGTAGAGAAACCACTTATTCATGTCCCCATTGCTTTCTATGTAAATTTCTGTCAAAAAAGAAATATACACACTGGGCAAACACATCAACAAAAAAACCCTTTAATTGAATGATGCACCGATGACAAAAATAATTACGTCAGATCTGAGAAACAGGCAAAATATCCCCTCCTATTTTCATTTCATACATTTGTTTTAACTTTTCGAAATAAGCATTAAACAAGGATTCTAGAATGATCCCCTGACCTTAAATTTTCATTTGATACCAACATTTTCTAAATATATTACAAATATCAAAAGTTACACCTATGCGTAGGAATTTTAATTTATTTTATTGTATATTATAATTATTTCTGGTATATTCTTCCTGCGCGACATTTTAATTACATTTGCGTTAGCTCTGTTAAGCAGTGACAATGTTTTTTAAACACGGCTTTTATATATCAAAGCTATTTTGTTAACTTTTTCAATTACAAAAGTAACCAGCGTTACTTGTGTATTTGATGTTATTTTTGCTTGTTTGTTTGTTTGTTTGAAGGAATTGTTATTGTTTATACATCTTGCCATATCAAACTTTGGGTTGAAGCAGCTGAAGGACTGATAAGATATATTTACTGTTCATAAGATAAGGTTTTATAAAGTACAGTTGTAAATTATTTGCTTTGACAATTTATCATTTATTGTTTTTAATTTAAAACTCCATTGTTCGCTCAGCAAAGGTAACTTCATACATAAGGTGGGTGGGTTTCAGTGACTTCCAAACAAATGATAAGTAAACTGCATGCAAACGTCCATAAAGGTGCTAATGCTGTCAATACTGATTCATTTTGGTGATAAGGGAACAACTATTTTACTTTCAAAACAGAATATTTCGTTTGCAAAAATTTATCACCAGAATATTAAGATAAATTTGCATGTAAGTTGAAAAACAATTACAACTATAATTGGATTTTCACAAAAGAAAATTATGTATTCTAAGCCCGAAAATTAAATGGTATAATATAATTCTAACTGCTATTACATTTTCTCATATTAGCTTAATTAAAGTGTAATTTTGTTTTCACAAATAGTAATGTGTTTAGGTATTCATTATATTAACAACAAAAAATTCAGATAGGATTTTTGTCAAATGGTCTATAAAATGTTACTATCCTAGGTTCTATCACGTGTATTTCTTTTTTAAATATGTCTTTATCTACTATTAAAACAAATATGATAAATATAATATGATAACAGATTGACATTTCATTCAGTTTATTGACCTTGTGGACGTCCTGGGAGAAGAACGCGTAAGATATTCAAAAATGTATTTTTAGCAATAACCATCTATTGTGAAAAATTCTTATAATTATTTAGAACATTTATGTTGTTATTACAACTGTTATAAACTTATTATAAACTATTAGTGATTTTCTAGTTTGTAACATATACATTCTATATTGTAAAATATTGCTCACTATCATTTCTAGTCGATACCGTTAGAAACGTAGGTCACTTGCGTCAGTTTTTCTTTTCTTTTAATTCTCAGGTTCCGTCATCTCAAATCTCTGAAAAGCTTCACAACAAAGCACATTATATATTTAAAAAAGAAGCGCAAGATACTAAAGGGACATTCAAACTCTTAAGGTACATCCCTCTGACTAAACTTTAGGAATTCCAAAGCTCTCCCCCCTAAAATAAATTACACAAATGAATAAAAAGATACCACCAACGCCACCACACACATACCTTAACTTGTATTTTGTATATGTAATCTCAGATTGTTGTTATCTGTAAGTGTTAGTTAAAAAAATAATTTATGGTTGTATCATAACGATCAATGAGAGAAATAAACTTGTTCAGGCACAATTATCTCATAAAAATTGTACAAGCCTAGCAGTTAGTCTTCATGGTATAATGCAAACTACGCCACTTAGGGTTAAAAATTTGGTTTGACCTTTATATGAACAAATTGTACCATAATTGTATGGAAAATAAAAATGTATGCAAAAATAAGGTAATGTGGTTTGATTTGCCAACGAGACAGTGATCGTATTTACTTAATTTATTCATATTAAATATTTCATACTTAACTAACATATTATTTTTTAAATATTGAACTTTGTATAAATTAGTAAAACAATAATCGCGTTAGAGCAGCTGTACAACTGTTAGAAAAGAAAATTATGTTTAGATATTAAAGTCAAAAATCAAACCGAATGTGCTTTATTTGTTACATAGCTCGAAAATTTCTATATGACAAATGGTCGATTGTTTTCAAAACCAGTCCTTTGAAGCGTTTTAAAGTTTTACTTTATTATTAATTTTTAATTATTATTTTTTTCTTTATGTTAATATGATTTAATTTTCTTCACCAAATATTGCAAATCAGCGAACCAGCACAAATCACTTCTATTATAATGAAAGAAATAAGGTGAACAGTTGCATTCTTCCAAGATGACTTACGGTAATGGTTGTTTTTTTCCCTTAAGGATTGAAAAGTGAACCTGTGAAACTCCACCTAAGACCTTGTCAGATTTACCTCAAATCTTTATTTTTTTTCAAAAAGAAATGAATAAGTAATTCTAAAAGCAAAAAAAAAAAAAACAACCCCAATTTATATTATTTTTTTTAATCATGTTGAAAACCCAGTAGAAAAATTCTGAATTCAGAAGAAAAAACATTGTTGCCACAAGAAATGTGACTGCTGCAATATAACCGGGACGATGGGTCAATGTATTGTATTTCATCATGCAAGCAGTCATCTATTGTACAAGTAACAGGTATACAAATACATTATCGCTTTATTTGTATAATATGCAAATAAAATATCCTGGTTTCTTGCTGCTTTGTTGAACGAACGGTAATTTTAAAATTACTTTTACGTCACTGTTCATTTTTGAGTGCTTTAAGCCATGTAGATGTCTACAATAGTCGAAGACAATGGTTGAGAATTAAAAAAATAGATAACCGTAACATCGTAAAGGATAAATTGCAGTGTAAAAGGAATACATATACATTATCGGAAGATATAAAAGTAATTTCTATCCGCTATGAAAAAGGAGAAAAGCTAGACCATGCTTCTTCCGGTTTTGAAGCTCGGACGCATACACTTTATATTTTCCTGCAATGTACATACATGTATATTGTATATGTTTTCAGTGATGTAACACCGATTTGCAATATTTTTTAAAGCCAACTTTGTAATTCGCGAATTTATGTTTCGTTGGTTTCTTAAATTCTTTAATTGGCTTTACCATCGAATTCCACTATTATTATTTCTCCAAAATAACTATTCAGTTTCAATTTCATTTTCAAACAATATTCTTTTACTTGCTAGAGCTCAATATTAAGTGCTTAAACGAATTCAGGGAATGTTTCTAAATTAAATGTCAACTCATGTGTTACTCATGCATTGTATAAACACAACAGTCTCAATGCTTGAAACTTTGTGCAATGACATCGTGGTCATTCCACTGAAGAAATCTGAATCTTCCCTTTTCTATATAATACTTAAGATATCTGGCTGAATCAAATTAGATACCGACCGTGCAAGTCCCTCATGGGTAGTCAAGGTCGTTGAAAAAAACCCTCGTCGTCAAATTAGATAGGATAGACAATTCAAGTTTTGGTCGTTACCGCCATATAAAGGTCAATTAAATCGTCCCGGCATAATATAGGATACTTAACACACTAATGGTTTTTTTTTCAATTACTGCTGAAAAAAATTGCTGCTTGTAAAGGCCTGTTGAAATAATATTTTTGTATAAAACAGTTCAGCGCATTGTTGGTCATATAGCAACTTGAATTTGGAGTTCATATGTTTCAAAGCATAATAAATATATAAATACTGAAAAAGAGTTTTTGTTCTACCTTCAAACATTGTTTCTTTTATGTTTAAAGTATCAGTGTACGGTTACTACAACAGTTATCTATATGCTATGTGTTCAGGAAAAAGTTGATGGCAAAAAATGATAAATGTTCGGTATAAAAATGATAATACAATGCTGATAATTATGACCTTGCCGCTTTCACCAATGATTCAAATGACATATATGTGAATTGTAAGTATACATTGTGGTCTTCTAGACATTGATCTCTATGATCATCATTGTAAATAGTTGATGCAACAGTATAGTTAATTGTGATTGATTGATTGTTTGATTAACGCCCAGAAGCAAATGTTTCATGTAACAAAATTATATGTGGTATGATTGCCAATGAGAAAATCATCCACCAAAGGACTAGGATATCAATACCTATAAGTCACTATACTGCCTTCTACAATGAATAAAACAAATACCGTATGGTAAGCTACAAAAGACATGTCATTACAATTAAACTCATCATAGATATCAGGATGAAAATTTTGTTCACCAGACCGTGTTTCGTCTACAACATACGAAACAATTCAAAAGAGAAAAACCAAAGGCATATTCAGGGCGGGACCAAATAAACAATAAAGTATGCTCTGCACAGTGGGTCGACCGGGTTGAAGGATGAGAAACTTTGACCACCACTGAAAAATGAGGGCATTTTAAATATAAACAGACATTTAGCCTCGTAACAGGCCAACGTCATACCCCCTAACATTTGTTCAAAGGGTTCTTTAACGCGAAAAAACTGACAACTTCTCAATTTCTTACACGAAGCATCGGATTTAACGTCCCATGTCTGACCGGACGTGGCTGCACATTAATACATCACGCACAGCCAAACGAACCAACTTGAAAACCAGATTTGACGTGAACTGATATGAGTTGTATTAATTCTGGGTATTTTTTTATTTCATCTATTAGTTGGAATTTGAATTGAACTAGGTTTCAGCAAACGCGAGTACTCCAAACTCCTTTTCTCAAGTTTTTCTGTGGTATGTGTGGATCTGACGAGTCAAGCCTTTTACAACTTATTTGTATAGACTTTTCTTCTGTTGTGATGTTGTGTCCCTATCCCAGGTTAGGGGAATGTTGAGCCCTCACAATCAAGTTTATCTCAGCTACATTTTTTTATATTTCTGTGCAAAATCAGGAACCTATAATTCAGTGGTTGCTGTGTTTGCCCGACATAATTGTTTTTCATTTTTTGTTTCTAGCTTAAACCGGGCCGTTGGTTGAACTGATTGATTGATTGATTGGTGTATAATGCCATTTTCAGCACTATTGGCTATTTCGTGGCGGTCATTTTTATTGATGGAGGAAGCCGGAGTGCCTGGAGAAAGTCAACGACCTTCAAAAGATTTTTAGCAGGTGTACGTATATAATACTTATACCATGATATCGTTTTCATCTTGTTTGACTTCTTTCTAAAAGAGAGACGAAAGATACCAAAGGGACATTCAAACTCATAAGTCGAAAAAAAAAACCGACAACGCCATGGCTAACAAAAGAAAAAGATCATCAGGCAAATAACAGAACACAAAACACAACACAGAAAACTAAACACTGAGCAACACGAACCCCACCAAAAGCTGGGGGCGATCTCAGGTGCCCCGGGTAAGCAGATCCTGCTCCACATGTGGCACCCGTCGTGTTGCTCATGTGAGTATACACCAGGCGATAAGTCTTATTCGGTAGGTCACATTCGGGGAAAAGGGGAGGGGATTGTAGTTACGATAATTGGAACATATCCGTCGTCGTAATTTCAACTTCACCAATAGGAACTTTTGGTTTAATAGCTTCCTTGTGAATATTAACCATCTATCAAGGAAAAAATAATAGGAAATACTAGCCCTGGAACTGGAAGATATTTATTCGGTATGCAAGCATTAATTGTTGAAATGTTGCTACATAGAAATGGAAAGTTCACAATTGGGAAGCTGAAATCATCCCTTTTGTCGTAAAGTTTTGTTTTCAACCAACCTTCATTGTCAATTTCTAGATGTAAGTCAAGATATGTGGCAGACTTAACTGTATCTGTTGTATGTTTATCTCAAGTTTGATGGGATAGATGCGTTCAACATAGTCATCAAATTTTGAATAATTTACCGAGAGAACATCATCTATATAGGGGGTAGTGAAGTTAAAGTATACTTCTTTTCTTTCTTCCTAAGAAGTTCCTGTATGAAGTCAGCCTCATATGAATAAAGGCAAATGTCGGCAAGTAGAGGAACACAGTTGGTTCCTATGGGAATGACGATTGTTTGTTGAAAAACACGTCCTCCAAACGTAACAAATATGTTGTCAATCAAGAAATCAAACATCTTGATAATGTCAGTTTTAGAGAACTTTTTGTTTAAATCAGAGTGATGTTTTACACAGTACGATTTATCCCTCCCTAAGACTAGATACTTGTATCTACGTTGGCCATTCTTTTTTACGAAACAAAGCAGGACTAACTCTTTATAAATATGTGTTTTAGTTTGGAATTGGGAATACTTGTGTAAAGTGTAGAAATGTCAAATGTTTTAATACTATTGCAAGATGAAAGAGTCTTATATTGTATGTACTCTAAAAGATCTTTGGAATTTTTAGTATCCACATCTGATTCACACCACGTCTAGAATATGTAGTTTCACAATAACTTTGTAGCCCGGCTTTGATTGCTGATAAAATTGATGTTAATAATTTAGAAAGAGGTTTCGTGGAGCACTTGGAAGACCCGGCAATATAACTTTGTTTGTAAGGACTTTTATGTAGTTTATGTATCCAATACAGTGAAGGAAGATCCAGTTCTTCCTTTGGTTGATACTCCGAAGGAACATAGAACAGACCTATGATTATCCAGGATTTTCTCCTTGGTAAGTGTCGTTTAGTTTCCAAGTAAATTGTCAATACCTTATTCATTTATCAATCAGTTTATGTAATGTGATTTACGCACAAAACAATGTTGTTTGAGGCTTTATCTGCGGAGACAACAACATATTTGTCATGGAGGTAGGACAGGTATTTTGAAACATTTAGGTCTTTAAAGATTGATGTAGCATTGGTTTTCATAGACCCATTCAGTTTTTTTTTAATTGTGAATTGTATAAACGACCCCACAACCTTAATTCATTCGGAAAGAGTATTTATGTCTTTATTCTCGCGTTTAACCCTTTGCTTGGCATAATAGATAGAGATATTGTGGAGAGTAGGTGATGTATAATGACGATGACCCTGACTGCGTCTACATCGAGGTGTAGAGTTGAAAATGTTCACCACATTCACCGAGCTTTGGAAAGACTAGATAGAATAACTATACCATCAATTTTGTCATTGCAATCATATGGTGTCGCAGTTCCCAATTGTCGAATCCAGTAGTGTTCCTTTTGTCTACGGAGAGGTGTTACAAGATGATGATTGTTAGTCCTGCGGTATATTTTGCGAACGTGCCAATAAGGATTGAATGATCAGGCTGATTTAAATGCTGGTAAACAATGTCGCTTGTATTGGTGTTGATGTCTGATATATACCGCATAAACGTTTATTAAGCCTTCCTTTCGTTTCATCGACATATACCAATCTGCACAGGTTACACTCTAATCCGTAGGCGAGATTTGTTGATTTACAATTCTAAATTTCATGCTATTCCTAATGTTTTACATATAAATTTGTTTTATAATACCTGGGCTTCTGTTTAAAAGTTTCCGTAAGGCTTTGAAATAGAAGCAATCGGCAATTATTCTTTATATCTAAAAAAAAAAACTTTGCCACTCTTTTTCCCCCGGAATCGGTTAATTAAGTAAGCAAAACAGAAATTATCATATCATTGGATAAGGTGTTGAAAACTAGTACCACATTCATGTACATACAGTGATTGGTTATCTGATAACTAAGTTTCAATGGTATTTCAAAATGAGGTGAGAGCTCGTTTTGCAATGGCTTTCACTATTTAACGTGCTGTGTTATTTACATATGTTCCTATTTCCATGATATTTGTATGCTGGTCTTTACATTTTTTATTTGTTCGGTTCTACAGGTTTCACTTTTAAAGTTACAGTGACTCATCGTACACGTGCAACAGAAATTATGAAAGACTTCATTGTATACCAAATGTCTTTTGTATCACACTATGTATCTGTATATTGTCTGTCCTGTCTCGTTATGTATTATGTTTTTAATATATTATTACTCTTGTAAATCTGTATGTGTTTGAGGTTATACATACATCTTGAACATTTTCGATACTACACACTTTTTCTAATTTGGCGCGTCCGAAACTTTGTTTTTGGATTAACCTTTACTAGGAACGCTCTAACCGATAAAATCTGAAAGCCAAAGATGAATTAAATTTGAATACTTATGGAGCTATATGACCAAAAGGGAAACACAAATAATAGCCAAATCCACCTAAGGTCAACCTTAGTTTCCTATTAATTTCAAAAATTATCAACGGAAAATAAGACAGGTATGTTATACATGTAATCATATTATGTATATTCTGCAACAGTTTGAAGTTTTTATTTTACTTAAACAGATAAAAGGTATACATGTTGATAGTATTTATCGATTAACTTGATATCCATTTTCATCAATTTAATTGTACGTGTTGTAATTGTCATATTTTATTAACATGTCATAACTTAATGCAAAATATAAAATTATGTAAACTACGATTTACATAACCATATAAAAGTCATAAAAACGCAAATATCGGATAAGGGGGCAGGTATATATTGTCGGAATGGTCTCGGTAAACGTCATTTGACTCGTAAACACAAAAACAGTTAGAAAACAGGTTCCTTCATAAACAGTTGTTAGTACTAGGGACGGGACTAGTAATTGAATGATAAACTATATTATTATAAATGATTATAAATTTGTTTAAAGTCATATGGAACGAGTTTCTTGTTATAATAACGCGAAGGAAATACAGTGGAGATCACTTCTAACCTCTCATTAGAACTGTCAGAATAATCTGTCATACAACTGTTCTAAACT